AGAGGCATTTTTGTATTCTCAGTGCTTAGACATCATTTGGCTTGCACACTTTATTTACAGCTTTCTGGTGATTAAGTTTTACTTTATCAAAGTGGCTATGGTCAACTAATTGTGTCTTCCTGTGCTGCCCTTCAAAATATTCTGTTCAGCTCCTTAATATCTTGATTTCTTCTCTTTGCTTTGACTTCTCGGCGCTCTAGTGCAATACTGAGTCTCCTCTGACATCCATTTTGGTTTTCTTTTTCCTCCACTGCTTTTCTAATGATCTTTTACATTCTTCCTGGATGATATTCTTGATAATCTTCCACAGTTCATCTGGTCTTCACTCACTAGTATTCAAGGCCTCAAACCTCTTCCAGAGATGGTTTTGAAATTCATGTGGGATAGACCTTTGGTTCCCATGGATTTGATTGAATTTTCCTTATATTCAGCTTGAATTTGCATGAGTAGTTGGTGGTCTGTTCCACGATCAACACCTGGCCTACTTTTCACAGCTGATAATGAGCTTCTCCAGGGGCTCTTTCCACAGATATAATCGATCTGATTCCTATGCACACCATTAGGTGAAATCCATGTGCATATCCTCTGTTTATGTTTCTTATAAAACATTTTTGCAATGAATAAATCATTGTGCAAAATTCTATCATTTTATCTCCAGCTTCATTTCTGTCACCAAGCCCATATTTTTCAACTAATGATCCTTCTTCTCTGTTCCCAACTTCTGCATTCAAGTCACCTATTATTATTAATGTATCTTGATTGCATGCTCAATCGATCTCTGACTGCAGAAGTTAATAGAATCTTCTGTTTCCTCTTCTTTGGCTCTGGTTGTTGGTGCATATACCTGAATGATAGTTACATTCACTAGACATCCATGTATGCATATGGATATTATCCTGTCACACACATTATTGTATTTCAAGATGTATCTAGAAATTACTTTTTTAACAGTGTGGGAACACAAACTAATGTATTATAATGAAATTTGCAAAGAGTTGGAGTCAGAAAATCATACAGGCCATACTCAGCATTTCATAAGCTCAAGGAATTTAAGAGTAAGTTCAAGCATCAAGTTGCAATACTTAAGGATGCTTTGGGAAAATATTAAATGATCCATGAAGTACTAAAAGAATATGGAAAGAGTGTACAGAGTCATTGTACCAAAAGGAACTGACGGACACAATAATATCTTGAAACAAGGTATGAGCAAGAACCTGTGGTGAAGGAAGAAGTTCAAGCTGCTCTGAAAGAATTGGCAAAAAACAAGGCCTCAGGAATTGATAGTATACCAACTGATATATTTCAACTAACATATGCTGCCCTAGATGTGCTCTCCAAATTGTGCCAAGAAATCTGAAAAACAACCACTTGGCCAACTGACTAGAAGAGATCTATATTTGTTCCCATTCCAAAGAAAGGTGATCAGATAGAGTATGGAAATTTTTGAACAATATTATTAATATCACATGCAAGAAAAATTCTGCTAAAGAGTAACCAAAATCAATTGGAATGGCACATGAATAGAGAACTACCAGAAATGCAGACTGGGTTTGGAAGAGGCCATGGTACCACGGATATTGTAGCTAATATTAGATGGATCTTGGCTGAAAGCAGAGAATACCAGAAGAATGTCTATCTATGTTTCATTGACTATGCAAAGACATTTGACTATGTGGACCACAACTAACTGTCGCTAACTCTGAGAAGAATGGAAATTCCAGAACACTTTATTATGCTATACTTGGACCATGGTCCAAGTATACTTGGAAATGGTCATCAGAAAAGAGCAAGGAAACACTGCATGGTTGAAAATTGGGAAGGGTGTACACCAGGAATGTGTCCTATCTCCATATCTTTTCAATCTATATGCATAACAGATTATTTGTGAGGCTGGGCTCTATGAGGAGAAACGTGGCATAAGATTGGAGGAAGACTCATCAACAATCTGCATTATGCAGATGACACAACCCTGCTTGCTGAAACTGAGGAGGACCTTAAGCGCTTGCTTCAGAAGGTCAAGGACTGCAGCCTTCAATACGGATTGAAGCTCAATATCAAGAAAACGAAGATTCTCACCACTGGGCCAATAAGCAGCACCATGATGGATGGTGAAGAAATTGTGATTGTAAACAGCTTTAGTTTGTTTGGCTCCACAACCAACACTCTTGGCACCAACAGATGTGTTGGGAAAGTCTCCTGTCAGAGACCTATCTAGAGTAATGAAGAGCAATGATGTCAATCTGGAGACTCAGATGCACCTAATCAAGGCCATGATCTTTGCAATCACTTGCTATGCATCAGACATCTGGACATTGACTAGGGGTAATAGAAAGAGAATTGATGCTTTTGAGCAGTGGTGTTGGAGAACAGTATTGGATATACCATGGACAGCTAAGAGAACAAACAGGTTCATCCTAGAGAGGATTAAAACAGGCTGCTCCTTGGATGCAAGGAATCTGAAACTTCATTTGACATACTTTGGACATATTGTAAAGAGAGACGGATCTTGGAGAGGAATGCAATGCTTGGGAGGGTGAAGGGACAATGAAAGAAAGGAAGACTCTCAATGAGATGGATTGATTCAGTGACTGGGGTAATGGGGGCAGCTGTGTCAGGTCAATGACATTGACACAGGATAAAGCTGTCTTTAGGGCTGCAGGCAACTTGATTGGCACATAACAACAATCACAACAACATTTGTTGTGTAATGATTCTGTGTAAATAATAATAAAAATAAATAATTTATAATATTATAAATATATAATGGCTAAAACTTCTCAAACACTAGTCATTGATTCTTCTAGAACATATTAGGCCTTTAAGTATCTATTTCTGAAACAGAAAATGAAGGTTCAAAGGCCTTTTTCAAGTTGTCTAAAATTAAGTGATAGGTTACGTAATTGTAATCCTACCCAAAGCATAATAACAAACTAATTGCCGTTGATTCAATTTCTAATTGTGGTAACCTTGTGAGTGTTAGAAATGTTCTCCATAGGGATGGTTGTTATCTTATGGAAGTAGTTTGTCAAGACTTTCTCCCACAGTGCTTCTGAGATGAATCCATGCTGTCAGTCTTTCAGTTAGAAGCCGAGATCAATTTGTGCTATCAAGAAAGCACTACACTATAAATCTGCTGCCATCCAGTTAACTCAGATTCAAAGTGACCATATAGAATAGAATAAAACTACCCTGAGGGTTTCTGAGGCGGAAAATCTTTTTCTGAAGTAGATTACCAAAACTTTCCCCCACAGAGCTTCTGGTAGGTCCAAATACCCAACTTTTCCGCTAATATCAAACATCAATCTTTGTTGCTCACAAGCAACAGATGCTGGAGAGGTTGTGGAGAAACTGGAACCCTGATTCACTGTT